GAGGAGCCGAGCGGCCCGGGGACGCCGCGGGAAGCCGGGCCCAGGTAAGGCGGCGCCCGAGGAAGAAGGGCTCTCCGCGAACGCCACTGGGCTCAGCAAGTGGGGCTCTGGCGGCTCTCATTGGACGACATTAGCCTAAATGGCGTAATTCGCAGAAACAAACCGCAGCCCCGCAGCGACGAGCGCGCTCCGAGAAGGGCGAGGAGGTGTGACCGAGCGGGCACCTTCTTTCTAAAACTCGCGCCCCTTTCTTTTTAAGGTCGGCCCCCGGAGGGGCCGAGGGGGGGGGACGAGAATTGCCCCAGTGTTGCCGAAGCTGGGTTCCTGACGTCAGGTCGAGGGGGCCCCCGAGATAGGCTCAGAGTGCGTCATTTTTGTCTCGAGGGTCGGGCCCCGGGCAGGGGGGTTGTGCAAAACCAACCTTAGAGAAATCCTTTGCGGGGCAGTCCTGCCTGTGATTTCCTAAGCGTAGCTGTCTCGGAGCAGATTCCCGCACGGAAACTAAAATAATTCGTCCCCAGTCGGGGACCCCAGGCCGTCCGTCACGGGAGCCTTCGCAAACCCGGAGCCTCCCGACTCGCCGGGGTTTGAGGTGGGGTAGAGAGGGGAAAGCTCCCGTGGAGAGAGGATCGGACGGAGCGCGTTTCCCCGCAGCGCGCACTGCCCGGCTCGGCAGCAGCGGCGCCTCCGCTTCCCGGTTCCGAAAGCTCCGGAGCTGAGGGATGACAAGCTCAGCGGCGGGTCACCTCATCCTCCCCGCATCCCCGGCCCACCTGGTTTTAGGTCCCCGGTCCGAGGCCAGGGCACAGGTCAGGCTTAGCGGAAGAGGATCTGAGCAGGTGCCAGCTGCGGGCACCCACCTGGCAATGTCACTCTGGCTCTGGGGTCCCAGAGCCACCCACTGCTTCTCTTAAGCAACCCGGCCGGGTTTAGGGACTCTGCAACCTCGGCGCTCCGAGAGATGTTTCCCGTAGGGTTTTTTGGTTGGTTTGTTGGGTTTTTTTTCCCTTGCCTTAAAAAATTTTAAATATTTTGATGTGTATAGAAAACGGGAACGATTTTAAAACAAGAGTGGGGAACAAAAGGAAAAAGTCTGACCTGTGGATTTTTTTTTTATTAGCCATTGCTAGAGGGAAACAGTAAAAGAGCTTCAGAAGACAATTACTTAAGATCTCTAGCTGTGACCTAACAGAAAACACAGTGAGAAAAAGGGTAAATGTTTTGTGGATTCCCGATTCAGATGCCTGCGAAGCTCAGCTCCCACCGAAAACTTCTTTCTCCCAGAGAGAATATTTGTGGAGGGAAATTATTTGGTTATTTTCACAGTATTACATCTCCCTTTGAATTACTTTTTTCATTAACTAGATTTAGTTCTTTAATTAAAAGGAGCAACGAAGTTTCTGACAGATGTTGTCAGCCACAAGCTCTGATCCAAAACAATAATGTAGTTAATTTGGGGGGACATCTTTAGTTTATAAGGCCTGGAATTTAAATATAATGTCTTAACATTGTGGTACAAAAAAGCAGGGAAACATTTGTTCCAGAGTTTCTAAGTGGCACTATTTCCTTGCTCTGTGTGGAAAAAGCTTTCGGTAGGTTGTGATCCTCATCACTCCAAAACATCTTTCTTCTTCAAGCTTAATTTCTTTCTGATCTTGTGAAATTGTTTTAAAATTATTTCCTGATTTTAAAAAGCCAACAAGACAGGGTAAAACTCTTGAAAGTATAACATGGTCCTGATCAGATGACATAACTTCTTCTCATAACCTGAATGTTATAAAGAATACACTTAAGTGACTATTCACCTAAATATAATTTTTAAACATACATAAGTTAATCTGATTTAATGTTCCTAAACTTCTTGGACCCTGAAGGACAAGCACAAATTACCTATAATTGTCAAACAGTTGTGATAATCATTGGTTTTGTTTTGTGCAATAAAAGTTATAATTGGGCTTTTCTATATTGAGTATAAATATCACATTAGGTCAAAATACAGAATAGGATGCCCTCAAACAGCCAGTATTCCTATAAATCCTGTGGCATAAAGCATTTTAAACTTTATGCTGTGTGTTAAAGGTTTGTCATTATAAATTATCTGTGTCATAGACATTAGGAAAAGTCTAACACATTTTCTGTGGGATTCAACTCTGCCAAAAATCTTACAGTTTAGACTGTATTTTCATGTGGCATATTTTGAAATCAGTTCTCTCTCTCTCACTCTCTCTCTCTCTCTCTCTCTCTCTCTCTCTCTCTCCTCTCTCTCTCCTTCTGGCACCAGGGATCAAACTTAGGACCTTGCCAGGCAGGTGCAGTGCCACTGAGCTAAATCCCTGGCCCAAAATCAGTTCAATTTTGCACAAACCTCTCACTCTGTAGAAGAATAATCTGTCATCCTGTCATAGATCTCTTTTGTTTTAGATAAGTTTTTAAAAAGCAAATGGCAAGAAAATATAACAGAGAGGTGTCTTCTGGCACCAGGGATCAAACTTAGGACCTTGCCAGGCAGGTGCAGTGCCACTGAGCTAAATCCCTGGCCCAAAATCAGTTCAATTTTGCACAAACCTCAGACTCTGTAGAAGAATAATCTGTCATCCTGTCATAGATCTCTTTTGTTTTAGATAAGTTTTTAAAAAGCAAATGGCAAGAAAATATAACAGAGAGGTGTTTCTTGGGATTCCATCTCCATTTGGTCTTTAGGCTCATGTGTCCTCATCTTCTAATGCTAATCTCTCTGAGGGGCAGAGAGGGCTAATAGCACACCTTCTTTTCACAGAAGGGCACTCGAATCCTATGTTTCTGGTACAAATTAAATACAGTATGCTGTTTCTCCCAAAGAGGCTGTCTCCTAGCTTGGAGTCACATCACCAGGAGTTTGGTTTCTTGCATTTAAATTAACAATGTTGACCTTCCAAAAACTACTGCTTATTTCAGAGCTCTCAGAGTCTATTTTATCTGCCCTGCGTTAAATATATATCAGCTGCTGCAGTTCTGAGCAGTAAATATCTTCTAAAAGAACTATGTGACTTAAATGACAAATGTGTATTGAGCACATATTATAATGGATGGTAAGAAGAAGACAAACTCAGCAGTCATAGATAAAAAGACTTCGCCAATAAATGTAAGGCACTGGGATGGGTCACATGACTTTTTCTGAAAATTCTTTTAATAGCAGTATTCTTCGTTTTGCATTAAGTAGCTTTTCCTTGCTGTGTAATTGTTCTTGGGCTTCTTCGTTTATCATGGGAAGCATGAAAGTCAAGGCCAGGATTATAACATTTTTTTAAAAAAATCATTTATCTCAGTTTGATCTCTAATACTAGGATATGTGCTTAAAAGAGAGGGCAATTTTAATCCTACCTCAGCAAAATTATTTGTTCTTCAGTAACACTTCTCAATTGTTCTTGAGTCTCATTATAACTAAGAATCAGTCCAGTCTTATCTCCTTAACTGGTTGGAGGTGATGTTCCCCAAATTCTGCTATCCATATACTCCTAGGCCATTTTTTAGTTTTGTTTCTGTTTTGCGGTACTGGGGATCCAACCCAAGGCCTTTGCACTGAGTGACAGCCCAGCTCTTTTTTTTTAAATTTTATTTCACACAGGGTCTAGCTAAGTCATTAAATTGCATACGCTTGGCTGGAACTTGTAGTGTTCCTGCCTCAGCTTCCCAGAGTGCTGCTATTACAAGCCTGCACCACTTTGTCCAGCTCTAAGCCTTTTTTTAGAGGAAGTAGGTTGGAGAGGTTGTCCTCAGATTATAAGCCATCTGAGCACAATAACTGTAAAAGGGATTTTAAAGTATTTATTTCCCTATTGGAAATTATAAAATCATTGGAGACATTGTAAATTAGCACAATTAGAAAACAAAAAGACCACTGGGCTTTGTCGTGGGTATATATTGAAAAAAAGGAACCTATATCTTATTTTAGTAATATGTTATTTGGAACTTAAATATTAATATGTCTCTTGCCTTTCAAAAATATACCTTAGTTTGAAGGAGATTTTTCCCTCAAGATTTTAGCCACATTTGTTCATAACTTTTAAAGAGTTCTATAAACAGAATTGCTTTTATAAGCAATAGAAGCCTTTGTACACCAAACAAAATGTCTTTCAACGGTTGCCTGAGTAAAATATGTGTGAGGTTTTCCCTAATAAATTTTAAATATGGTTTTATAAATTCAAATACAATCTGGATAATATATGAACAAAAGCATATGTGTTAAATATTACCATTGCAGAAGAAAATTATTTTGTTTCTTTGACTGGAATAGTTTAAGCTTTAGTAATGATGAGGATCATTGCTAGAAAGGGAAGATCATCACATGTACTATGTATTCACATCTGACAACTGATAGTCAATGTTCTGTAACTAATTCACTTAATAAAATGGTATTGTATGCTCAAGCAGAATTAAAAAATAATCTGGTTGTTAAGAGTTTAGAAATACTCTATTAGAAAACTATTTTGACTGGTTTCTATTTTACATTAATATATGTAAAAACAAAGTACCAGGAGCTTGAATATATGATTTTTAATGCATAATTTGA